CTTAAAGCCCACCTCTGCTCCGCGCCGTCCTTTAGATGAGCCTGGTCAGATTGATAAAAGAGGGAGTTCAACACACCGGCATAAAAGTTATAACAATAATCTGATTTTAATGGTAAAAAACACCAATACAAGTTTACAGAGTACTCCGGACTCCCAGTTCTACTGCTGTGTGATACAGGTATCGGGACCAGCCAGTCAGAAACAGGGGGCCCTTTGCATGAAGAAACAACAGTATATATGGACATATTTGGGGCGGAGATCTACTTCTTATCTTCCACCGGACCCAACTCCTTTAATTTCCCAGGGAAGGTTTCACACAAACTATTCTTTTAAAACAATCAAACATTGTACACAGATATATTGGTATTGTACACAGATATATTGATGCTTGGGATTATTCGCCCCAGAAATAACCTTGGAAAAAGAACATGTGTGTGTTAGTGAGGTAAAGTGTGTGTGCATGCTGATAAGCAGAGGCGTATGTGTGTGTTGCTGATATCTGGGTTAAGGAGTTTATGTGTGTGTGCTGCATGGAGACTGACACACACACCTCGTGTGTGTCAGGGTCTCTGGGTCATGGAGTGTAAGTAAGAAGGTTTAGATATATAGGATTACTTTAAACAGTCCCAAATAATACATGTTCACTTCAATACAGTTCAAGATAATACCTGTTTACTTTAATACAGTTTAGAACAATATCTGGGTGCTTTAATATATATATATATATTTTAAACCTGCAAGCTGTGAGTCTTCTATATTTCCTACAGCTCTCTCAGGGGGATCTTTGTCTCTCTAACAGGTCACCGGGGATGTGCTGCTGTACAGCAATGATCTGACCTACGTTGCTTCTGAGGATTCTTACAATTTGGCTTTCACTCACCCAGTTGTCTGTGCATATGAGAGGTTAGTGTTCATACCAACTACAACATAAGGTGCTAAAGGGTGACCCTTCACTAACTATTCCAATGTGGCATTTCCATGGCAGCATTTTCTATACACATTCTGCTTTATTTTGTGCAGGCCCAAAGACTGGTATTCCAGCCAGCAGATCTATGACCCGGTGTTTAAAACCTACGGTCTAGGAGATCTGCAGTTTACCATTGGCCTTATGAATGGTGGGTAAACAACATGTGAAACTCTCTACAAACGGCAGCTCTCCCTGACTTTTGTAATTTAATGACTCTTTTCCTTTTTACTGCCCTAGACGACTTCTCAGGCCCCGCTGAATCTACAAGCTTTCCTCTGGGCTCCATCATCCCCATCATGGCTAGTGTGGTGCAGAAGACCCATCAGCCCTTGCTGCTGCTTCTTGAGGAATGTGTAGCAGCTACCACACCAGAGCTGCACCCTGAAAGCACCATGTACCCTATAATCTCCAATAAAGGGTACTCTAATGGCAATAAGCATTGACTTAAAAAATGTGTTTTGGTAATATGCTAATTAATTTTCTTTAACCCAACAGATGTCTTTTGGAAAGTGTGTCGTCACAATCAAAATTTGAACCGAGGCAAAAGTCATCGGAGATGCGCCTATCACTTCAGACCTTTAAGTTTGCCATGGGAGAAGAGGTAAATTGGCCTTCTAAATTGTACATTTTTGTTCAGATGCAAGGTTTGATTGTGGAAACTGAGATTAATTTATGACTCCTATATTTTCCCTCTATTCAACAGGTCTTTATCCACTGCAAACTTTTGGCTTGGGATCCCAATGGTCTTGACAACACTAAGAAAGCCTGCCACTTTGTCAAAGGGCATGGGTAAAAATATTACATCAATATATCAGAATTTGAATTGTACGTTTATTTGTTTTACATGAGATGACTTATTCAGCTTTAGCCCAGTCTACTGAAGATACAGATGGATCCCATTCATAACTGTTCAAACTTTGTGGAGACTTTATTTAGAAGAGTTGAGATGCATTTTAATCTTTTCATCCAATCTTCATGAACTCAGTTGGGAGTTGCTGGACAACTTGGCCCAGAGCAATCTTTGTGACTGCTGTGAATCGAAATGCAAGTCAAGGAGGCAGAGGAGTGTTGCGTCAGGTATGTACACAACTTCTGCTGTATTACACTTGATTTGTTGACTTGTACTAAAATATATATGTTTGCAGAGAAATATGGAATGGTACAAAAAGCAGTCATTGGGCCATTTACCATCACAGATGTGAATTCCTGAAGGTAAGGGTTTCATATTTCAATATTCATTTATTCTGAACGGCTACTTTAAACTTTGTTCTCCCAACAGGAATGGATCCATTTCCCTGACTGGGTTCTTCAATCTGAATTCGGGTTTTATTGTTTCGTAAGCTTAGTGCGAGCCTGTCTCTTTGCATTTCAGATTGTATGTTGCTAATAAAATAATGTATCTGAACCACTTAATTGAAGTTCTCAAATTCTTAAGTTTGACTTGCCTTTTGTGTGAAACGGTTTAAACTAAGCTGTTTTACTGAATCATGATGACCTAATTTCTGGCTAAAACAAAGATGCACACATCTGGTTGCAATAAATGGTTTGTTTTGGGAACATTTCCAGGTCTGTTTTCAAAGGTGTCTTTTTTCCTGTGATGTGTCAATTTCCCAAAAATATTGATCACATTAAATTAATCTTGAAAGCAATTGGATTACATTAAACGTAGTTCACGTCAATAGCTCTTAACAGTTGATGTAGGTATTTTTATTCTGTATTCTTCAAGCAGGTCAAGGCTAAACTCAGTAATTGTGGTTCAACCTGTAATGTTAACACACGCTCTAAATTGTAGAATGGCTTTACATACATAATACATAATTCACTCCAATTCACCTTAGAAATATGTTGCTGTTTTGTTCATGACTAAAGAGACAATGATTTAGCCCAATATTTATTGAACTAGGAGAGAAAGGTTTTTTTCATTTTTGCATACAAAAGTATTTCAAGCGACTGAACCGATAAAGGTAATTTAAAAAAAAAAAAAAAACCTGGGATCCCCCTTAATACCTATAGGCGCATTCACACCGCAGTACTTTTCCCACAAAGGTTCATGAGAACTCTTTAGTTCTCATGAACTAAGTACAGATCACGTTCACACCGGAATAAGTCCCTGGGGGAGGATTACAATAGTATGAAGCTGCACTCTCAGGACCGCACTCCCACGACCCTAGTTGTTTTGCGTATTGTGTTGTGTACTTACCATAGACTGTATATATAAAGCAGGGTTGCCAACTCTCACCCATCTGGCGTGTGACACACGCTTTCACTGTCAATCTCACGCTCTCACTCTGCCCAAACTATTCTCACGCCAAAAACAAGATGAACCGGCGATCGTTTTTGGTTGGTTATTTACAATGTTGAGTTGACAGCTGCTCAAGCTGTCGATCCGCTCCCTCCCCGCCCCCACCACTCTTAACAACGTTAACAGACAGCAGAGCAGTGGGAGCTGGTTGGTCAATCCCCGACCCGTATTGCGCATGCGCAGATCCGTCTTAATGCCAGGCTTTTCATCAGTCGACGGCGAACTCCACAGAAGGAAAGGTGGGTTTGCATAGTGCACTTTATCGATATCGTTGAATATGTTTGAAAATATGATTAGAGTAAGATAACCTATTCTATTAAGGCCACATATTTGTTTATAAAGTTTGTTAACATTTTAGATTTGTTTGTTTAAACTTTAGAATTTATAGCACATTAAAAGATTGTCACTTGACTTTTATGCTAGGTTTGAAGGGCGCTAAAGTTGTAATTCAGTCCCCTAAATAGCTTAAGCTATGTTAACAGCTAGCTTTTAAAGAATAAAAGAAACATATATTATAACAATAATGGTGTTTTATTATGCAAATTATTTGCTAACTACTATGTATGTATGTATTCAAGACAGACTTTGTTAAATAAACTGGTATTCCAGATGGAGAGCTTTGTGAAATACTTTAAGAAGACTAAAGAGAGAGAAAGAGATTAGGGACTGGCATTAGCCAACAACAGTTCAGAGGAAAACAGGGGCAGAGGCAGCAGAGTATCCTCAGAGGAGACAATGAGGGAAGATGAAGATGAGACACAAGTGCAGGTAACTTGGCTAGTTCACAATATCATACCCCAAAGGTTTCACAGGTAGCCAAGGCTGCTAGCGAGCTGTTTTTATTTGATTTATTGTAACATTTGCTAGCAAATAACTACACAATTGTAGATTGCTGTTTACACATTTTTGATTCCATTATGCTTGTTATTTGTTATGATTTGTAACATGTTAAGTCAGTGTCTACACTTGTGTTCAATACACTAATTCAATATCTAAATCTCTTCCTCATAGATAGACCATAGAGAGAGAGTGTGAGGTGCTGTGTGCATAAAAAAAAAGGAAGAACGCAGGGGCAGCTCCAAGTTTAATTCCCAGTGGACCATTCATCACGCCTGGGACTACACCTTTTCATTTTTGGTGTTCCATATGCAGGCATGAATTAGAATGCAGACACCAGGGCAGAGCTGATGTGATTCGCCATATCAATAGGGAATCACACTTGAAAAAACAAAAGATGGTTGAGAGCTCTTCAAAAATGAATATGTTCATACAAGGAAACGCAAAGCACTGAGATGGGTCAGCTGGAAACACAGGTGATAGTATACAAGTTGGTTAAGTACAGTGATGTTATGGTTATTTAGTAGGGTTTAAGTCGCAGTGATTGGGGTTACATAAACTTTGCCTAACCTGTAAATCATTAAACTGATTGATTAAATACGTCAAAATAATATAAATGACCTGACAGCAGCATACTCACCTATGTAGATATATGATTGTGTTTTATACATTCATTACACAACCACAGACCAGAAGAGCCGAAGTGAAGGTGACCATGACAATGGTGCAGCACAACATCCCATTGGCTTTTTCGGATCACCTGAGTCCGCTGTTCAAGGAGTGTTTCCCTGATTCCAAGATAGCCAAAAAGTATTCCTCAGCCAGGACAAAAACAACAGCCATCATAAACAAATGTGTAGCCCCCTATTTTATGGATGAGCTTGTGAAAAATCGGTGTGATCATCCCTTCTCTTTGGCCACTGATGGGTCCAATGATACTGGTAAGTGTGTTCATGTTGACCATGGGTCACACAGAAGTAAGTAAGTGTTGAATACATTTGTGTCGTCACAGGCAGAGAGAAGTTGAATCCACTGACTGTCAACATTTGGAGTTCACAAGGTGTGATTCAACGATTTCTTGACATGGGTCTGACATCAGGAACCAGCTGTGGCACTGCTGAGGCCATATTCAACAAAATGAATGAGGTGCTGGAAGGCCACAGTATCCCATGGGCCAACTCTGTGGCCCTTGCAGTTGACAGTGCTAGTGTCAATCTGGGAGCCAGGAATTCGATTAAGAGCAGGGTCCTGGACCAAAATCCATCTATCTACGTTCTTGGCTGTCCCTGCCACATTGTGCACAATAATGCACACGCTGGTGGCTTGGTGTACTCCGAGGTAATGACTTGACAGTCACAACTGTATTTTTTTCATTTTTACTGGGATGGCCACTTTGTACATATTGTATAAGTATTAACACTAACACATTTATTTTGCTAACCCTCCAGATGTCGGGCTTTGAAGTCGAAGATTTCTGCGTCGATCTTGCCTACTGGTTTAAATCCAGCACCAAAAGAAAGAACATGCTTCATGGCAAGTTATCCTCACATAACACATTTATTCTACTCAAAAGCATTGATTCAGAAATAATTTGAAGGGCCAATCTAAAATACATATTTTGTTCTATTCCGAATTCTGTGTGTTTTGTGACACCACGTACATGGAGGTACTTCAGCATTTTAGCATTAGGTGGCTCAGTTTGGATCTGGCTGTCAACCGCATACTCCGTGTCTACAAGGCCCTGACAAGCTACTTCAGATCCACTGGTTTGTAGTCCCATATTCATTATTGATGAAAAATGCAAAACTACAATTTTCTATTTATTATTTTTGAACGTTTTTGTCTTTTAGACGAAAAGCAAGCCAGGTGTCTGCGGCTCCGTGCCTTATTTGAGGATCCATTGACAGAGGTTCATCTCCTCTTCTACCAGGCACTTCTGCCTACATTCTGCCAGTTTAATTTGTTGTTCCAGAGGCAGCACCCATGCATCTATCTTCTCCATGGGCAGGTACATCATTTTACTGTTTGAGTTAGTGTAATGGTAATGTCAAATAGTATAATTGATTCTTATCTTAATGTTCATGGATGGGTGGGTTGTATATTTTCTGTATTTCAGGTGAGGGCATTCATCCGAAAGCTAATGTCCAAATTCTTGAAGCCTGCAGCTTTCAGAACAACAAGCTTGGAGAGTGTTGATCTTCAGGATCAAGAAAACCAACTGCCAGGTGAATACAATTGACTGTTATAGCCTATATTATTTGACCCTTTTATGACAACTGAAATAATCTACAGGTATATAGTATGGGCAAAATAATGCATGGTAGTCTTTTTTTCCTTTCAGACACCCAGCTTGGCATTGGACTGACTACAAAGTCCACACTGATAAGGCTGCATGAATCTGGTGAGATTCCCTCAGGTGATGTCACCAAATTCAACAAGGCAGCAAGAGGCTTCCTGCTTCGGTCTACTGAATATGCACTGAAGAAGCTACCTCTCAATGACCCCCTGCTGCCACATGCTGTGTTTGTGGACTTCAGGCAAAGACAAAACTCCCATGTGGATGATGTGCTCTACTTGGTCCAAAGGTACAATTACTGAACCCTTATTTTCACTTTACCATTACTGCATTTAAACAACGTGAGAAGTTAATTAAAGATAAATGGTGATTTTGACAGGCTTTACAACAGTGGTCCCCAAACTAAGGCCCGCGGGCCGGGTACGGCCCGCCTCCACATTTGGCCCGGCCCCCTGAACAATACCAGAGACGCATTATGATTTTTTTTCTTTTTTTTTTTTAGTCTGGCCACGCGAATCCTAGACTAGCCCCTGTCAAAATGTTGTGACCTGCTCTATCGAAATCAGTCGCATTGACCCGAAGACACCTTTTGAGTTGTATACACTGTTGGAAAGAGGATATTCCTAGCTTTCTAATGATATCAGGATTGTTTTTGTACTCCAAATATTAAGCGAAATATGTCACATTATATAATGACTGTCACCGAGTCATCATTTTGAGAAAAAGGCCTTCAAAGTTGTCTCTTCTCTGGAATCCATCGATCTGATTGATTATTAGCGGAGCAAATGATCAAAATACTACCGAGGGAAGATATTTTCGTTTGGAGGGGAAGCTCGCGAGTGTGTGTGTGTGTGTGTGTGTGTGTGTGTATACGTGTGCGTGCTTGTGTAATTTTGCGTTTGTGTGTATTGTGTTTGTTTCCCGGGGAAAACACTCACGAGAAACACCGGCTGTTGTTATGCCTGCTGTGACGTCAAGTTACTCCATTCTCCGCTTGTAATTATGCCGAAGCTTCAAAGTTGTATTTATCATCTGAATTTGCCGAAACAAGTTTAATATTCTGAAAGCCAAGACTTTGTTTAATTGAAATCAGATGAAAACAAACTGTAACGGACCCTACAGTGTTATCTATGATTACTATACTCTTACATTCATAATTTCAGCGGAGTGAGGGGGGGGGGGCGGCGCTGCGGAAGAGCAGATTGCGAGTGGGAAATAAATAAATTGGAAATAAAAGTTTCATATTCTGAAAGCCAAGACTTTGTTTGTTTAAAATCAAACAAAACACCCGAACCCCGAAAAAATAGTTTTTTTTACGTAAATCCACGTTTATTTTTGAGAGATTCTGCTCTGACAACTAAGCTAAACTTTTACCTTTTAAGATTGTGCACGGCACAACAGAAAGTTACAGTAATTTTCAATGGACTTTTTTTCTGTGAAGAACCCAGAGAGGGTTATTTGGTTATTATTTATTTCATAAATAGTGTTATTTATTTCATTAATAGTGTTATTATTTATTTCCTGACTTTTTTTCTGTGAAGATCCCGGAAAGGGTTATTAATATTTGGTTATGTGTGGCTTTCTAGAAAACAATAAATGTTTACGTTTAGACACCCATGCGATCGTCACACTTTTTCTGTTACAAACTGACCCGGCCCCCATCAGAGAAGGGAAAAGTTATGTGGCCCTCACAGGAAAAAGTTTGGGGACCCCTGCTTTACAAGCAGTTGAGATGGGTGAACAAATACAGCTTGCTTAGATATTACATTGGGAGATTCTGTTATTGTAAAGGATTATTTATTTATATCTGGATAGAGAATTGGTTATTGTTTTATGTATATTTATTTACAGAATTCAATAATCTAATGGCAAAATAAATGTCTGAATATTTTTTTTCTATTATAAATAATGTTGTTGCAATTGTCTTTGCCCAGATACAAACACCTTCTTCCTTTTGAGGACCCAAGGGAACAGGACAGGATTTCGGATGAGTTCCTGGAGTACCAAATGCTGGAGGAAACGGATATCCCTGACATGGTCTGGAAAGGTGCCCTGGTGAGTGTTGGAGAGGAAGAACAATTCCATCGTATGGACATGGTGTGGGCACACTTGACTACGCAGAAGAGCCGAGTAACTGGTAAAGAACAGTTCCCCAGACTTGAGAAGGTGGCCCAGCTTGTCCTATGCCTACCTCACTCTAATGCGGATGTAGAATGAGTCTTCTCAGTAATTGGACTGAACAAAACAGAGTGTCGAAACAGACTTGCACTTGATGGGACACTGTCATCCATTATGTGCATCAAAGGAAGTCAGATTGAACCATGCTGCTTCAAATACGAACCACCAGTAGAAATGATAAACAAGTCAAAGTCTGCTGCTTATTGTTCTACTAGGCCAAAATAGAGTCACAATAAAACAGTGGAAACAAACATGTGTTTGACTTTCATTAGTGAATGAAACTTTGTGCCCTTTATAGTCTATGTCCAATATTGTGTATTTGTATATATTGTATATATATATATATCCTATATATATATATATATATATATATGGTACGGTCCCGCTACGGACTCGATAGCAGTCATTTAGTGTGCATACGTGTAATTAAACCCATGATATCAAAATCTCACTCCAGCCAGGTACCCAAAGTTGGCAACCCTGTATAAAGTAACATATATCTTATATTATTAATATATATATAAATAATTCTGATAAAATGTTATTCCAGCGTCAATAAATGAGTGTTAATCCCAGTGTGTTTAGTGTACATCATCACATGTCATTTCACGGTTTTCAAAACGTTAGCCACATGCTAATGCTAACCGGAAATGAAGAATCTTCAGAATAAAAGTGTTAAATTAATAGTTAGTGTGAACTTCCAGGTTTTTCAGAATAAAACTTCTTTAAATTAAAACCCTGTATTTAATTTAAATGACGTCATATCAACATTGAAACATTGAAGTTTGGGAGGGAGGAAGGAAGATTAGGATTAGGTAAAAAGGTAGGGAGTGGTTAGGGTTAGGATGGGGGGAAGGGAAGGGTTAGATTGCGCACTGCATTGAGGGGCTTCAGGCGTTCATGTGAACGTGCTCCGTCACGTGCCACCGTGACGTGCTCCGTCGGACCTGTGTGTGCGGTTCTACAAGTGCAGTCCTGTAACTGCTGTCTCCGACGCTGCAGCTTCATGCTACTCGAGGATTAGACAAATGAAGCCGCTGACGTCACTTCTTCTTCTTCTGCTTTGGGTTTACTGGCAGGCCGCAAACCACTTCACGGCGTATACTGCCGCCCAGAGCCATATAATAGATAATATAATAGGTCTTTTGAAAACGCTTTCTTATATTTATTGTCCCTAATTTTCATTGTTTTCTTGAGAGCTGCATTTTCCTTCCTGATTTTTCTTAGTGCAGCCTTTGCTTTTTTGGTGATTCCTTCTTGGCTCTTTAATTTTCTCTTTAATTGTTGTAATAGATCTGTTTGACTGGCTGCTGGTTCCCTCGTATGCTGACTGGCTGCTGGTTCCCTCGTATGCTGCTGGCTGAGTGGGTGGTGTCCGCCCTCCCTGTCTCTCCTCACTAGCCATGTCCTCTCTTTCTTCACCCCTCTTCTCCTCATCCCTTCTTCCCTCAATCTTTGAGACTAATGTAAGTAGAAGACATGGCACTGTACATTTTCGAACATTTTAAATATTATACCACTTAAAAATAACAAATATTACTTTTGTTACTAAGAGTTCATACTTATTATACCTGTGTCACCTTTCACACTATAGCTGTGATCATGAGCTATGGGCTTTGTAGATACAGGTCCCGGGGTGAATCGTGGTGCAGGGGCCCTTCTCTTTTTGACCACAGGGCGATGCACGAAGATGGTGGGTATAGCCTCTGCTCTCAGCCTAGTCTTGCCCTTTTTTGTCTTGACAAACTAGTCTGCATCAAAATGTGCCTGCGGAGTGACTTGAGGTTACTTCACACACAGAACAACTGTGTCTGAATCTTGTCTGCCCACATACATATTCCATAGTGGTTGAATACACAGTATTAGGAAACACTTTATACTTACTGGACATGTTATACTCATTACATACTGTATATAAAATATGACCAAGAATGTGAGACAACTTTATAGAAATTCATATCACATCTGTTACTTATGCCATTTGTCATACTTTGTTAAACTCACAAATAATAAAGTTCCATAACTTCAGTTGGGAACAAAGACCACACCTTATCTCCCCAAGGCAATTTCCCATCCAATAGGTGTGCTATATACAGGGCTGCACATAACTGGTGCGCAGGTGCGCATGCGCACCTCCGCCAAAAAAAGAGCACCGGGTCATTTGAAACAAAGCGCATTTGCGTACCAACATTGAGAGAGGGAGAGAGAAGGGAAAAGAGAAAATAGAGGATAGATGAGAGAGAGAGAGAAGAGAGAGAGAGAGAGAGAAAGATATTTGCGAGTTGCATATGAACCATGATATGAACTCAGGGCCGGCTCGTAGCACTGGCTAGATGTTCGCCTAGGGCGCCAGACCCGGGGAGGCGCTGCGCTGGCAGCTCTGGGAGGGAAAACAACATTTTGACCGTTGGGGCTCATCCTAATTTTCGGCCTTGATGTAACAATATTCATAATTAAGTAAATGTAACACCCTTTTCACCCCGGTTACACGTTTCATTTGCCCTGTACGATGGGCGCTGTAAGTGATGAAAATGGGGGATGTTGGCTTATCTGGCGCCCGTAGCTCACAGCCAAAATGCGAGGGAGAGAGGGAGGGTGCACCGGTACCAGCGCTGTTGTTATTATAATCTGGTGCCGTGCTAGCTGCTCTAACGGAGATAAGAAGAAGATGTTTCTACAATGATGTGGAGGGAGAGTCCTCTCCAGTCAGACTGAGAGGCTGATAACTACAGCTCAGTGAGGTAAAGGACTCTGAGTGTTTAGATAGTTCACTTTAGTCTAAGTTCAAACGGTTTGGTCACAATTTATGTAAACACATATTTCCAAGGCACTCCTTTATAATTATTGGGATAAACAGGTTTGAAATCATTCCAATGTATATACTATAGGACAGTAACCAAAAATATCCTTTAAAACTGGAGATTTAAAAAAAATGCATAAATAAATAAATGTTAAGGTAAAATAAGATATGAACAACAACATAAATAAAATAAGATACATTCATTTGTTATTGGCTATGGTAGGTTATTGGTTATGTTCACATACTTATTTGATTACATCCACTTGTCTAAGATGACAACAGAGACTTTCGACCCAAACCCAGCTGTTGACTTGTGGATGCAAGCAGCTAATCACAGACTCAACCAGAGAGGAAGTAGTAGGCCTACATCATCAGCTACCATGTCTGACAGAGAGGAAGACAGTGAGGAGAACAGTCAGGAGGGTAGTGATGACAGCTTGTAGGATTACTGGTCGTGCTAATGTTGTCTTGTGTTCACCTCTGCATGTGTGTTCTGTGTTCACCTCAGTGTGTGTGTTTAGTGCCGTGTGTCTGGCAAATAAAGTCAAGACCCCCTCAAAAGTTACAGTTTATTTCATTTTAAGGATGAGCACCAAGCAACATCTCCAGGTGCTCCTTTGAGAACCAGGGCAAAAAAGTTATGTGCACCCCTGGCTATATAGGTGTGTATAACCCTTTCTCCTGTCTGTTTATCCCTCTTTCAGCACAAGAACCAGAGGGGGATTCAATGGAGCCTGAATACCTGCACTGAGACCCTCACCCTGCACCCTGAGTCTCAACTCTGTGTTTTTCAAGCCTTTCCCTGTTTTTTGTATTAAACAAAACATTAAGCTTTCCCAATGGTGTGGTTTTCGTTTTGTGAAAAAGTGCAAATGCAGTGTTTGTATATAATTACCTCACATATTGTTTTGCTGTTGGTCGTGAAATTGCTCCTGCTGACTTGAGCCAGCCATTTTTTCCTCCGCTCTGTGTCAGTGGGGGAAGCCGTACATTCGTACTCCTTTCTCGGAGCGATTTGAGCATCCCCAGGCAGCACAGCAAACCAGGACAACACGGAGGAAAAGGCACAGACAAACTGCATGATATGCTATTCAATGTTTATTGAATTCCATGTATTTGCAATGGATGTTCCTAAAACAACACATTTAACATCATCATCATCATGCTGCTGCTGCTAGTCCTTTGATAGTCACCTGTCGGTCTCCTGTCCTTTCTGAAAGCCATAAAGATTACATTAGTCATTTAGATAACTTGTGTCCTCAATTACCACGGGATTACTGAAACTACCATGAATTTAAGAAAATGGTAGACATTAATCTAATCTGAATTTTAAAGCATTACTTTAGATCCTCTCCCTCTAAATATATCAATAAACATTAGAAAGTGATGCTCCTGACTACCATACAAGTTTAAGAAGATAATATTGGTTTTAAAGAATTCAAAGCTATAAATAAACAGCAACAGGCTCTTTAACCAAGGCACTGTTAGCCTAACATGTAAACTAGTTGTTCACACTAATCCTAATATTATCACTTAATATTAGCAAATTCACATTGCCCGCCATGAACTTCCGGGGAACGATCCTCGTCTACATGAACCACGTGACGATACCGTTGTTGGACTTCCGTTGTCGTAACTCTTCTATTATATGGCTCTGCTGCCGCCCAAAGTCCCCGGCCGGAAGTCCCCGGAGTTGGGGACTGGCTTCAGTAGAAGCTGCTGGGACTCCCAGCAGCTTCTACTGAAGCCTTCCGAGTAAATCGCCAGAACGCCGACACCTCCTCATCTCCACCGCTCCCATGTTTTATTTTGTGTTGCCATAAGTTAGTCTCTCTGCGTTTCTGCGCTGGGCTAATGCTAATAATGCTAATGCGAAGATAATAAAATGGCGGCTTCACAAAACTTTTTGGGAGGTTTACGGGGCGTGGTTTGCAATCCGCCCAACCAATCAGAAATATAGCTCTTTTCTCACAAGAGAGCCGCGAGTGGGGGTAAAAAGGTTCTCATGAACTAATTTTAGTACCGGCTCTTTTTGGTGTGAACGCGACAAAAGAGTTCTCATGAACTAAGTTCTCATGAACCTTTGTGGGAAAAGTACTGCGGTGTGCATACTATGGAAGCAAACAAGAGACAGAAGTATTCGAATTGTATTAGACACCGAATTTATAGCATTGAAAATAATTACTTTGAAAATCATGTATCTGAATGTTTTTGCTCCGAATTTACCTATGTGAAATAAAAATGTAAAAATTCAAGTGAAAAAAAATTCGAATGTTCAAATTCAGATCCCAAAAATTCGACGTCAAAAAATTCGATGTCAAAAAATTCGGTGTATAAAATTCGATGTCAAAAATTGCGATGCAGCATCATCCGGGCTACTCAGACAGGATAAGCAATCGAGCCCCAATGCAATCAAACTGACTTGGCCTATCAGAGCACGGCTTTGTCAGTCATGTGATCACAACAACCCGGGAGAAAAATGACGGAGAACAGCGGGGCTCGCCGCTCGGGTAAGTAGTCAGTTTGTGCTCTTTATCTTACAAGCAGTGAGGGCTCGACAGCATTTGTATCTTACATTAGCTAAATGAGTGAAGTAGCCTTGTGCCTTGCTGTTAGCAAGCTCCGTAGTTATCATTAATTGAAGTGAAGTTTTTTTATTTGAATGTGTTTTTTAAATCCAACAGTGTACTACAAAGATAATCAGGTTATGAATAAACCGTTCTAAATTCATCAACATTGAAATAAATGTATTATTAAAATAATATTTAACTGCTATCAAAACTTAGTGCAACTGTGGAAGCTTGCTCTGTCCGGTTGTCTCACTGAAAGACAAAGGGTCGCAGCTCTCACTATGTGATGTTGCTTGGTCAAATGTAACCTTTTGCTAAGAAAGTACACTCAACATCACTGATGTGTAGGTGATCTAGTATTCACTCATGTTTAATGGCATGTCTATCAGTGTATTGGAGTCATTACTTTATGCATTCTTTGTAAAGCATGAAAAAGGTGTACCTTGGAATCCGTGCTGAAGTTCTCTGCTGCTAGGAGTCCAGATCTGTCTCTCCTCCTCTGGTCAAGGTCTGTCTCTCCTCCTCTGGTCCAGCCTGTCTGGATCACCTTGAGGACACTTTGAACAAACAGATGTAAAGTTACATGCATGGGTTACAGACTTCTTTACATGCAAACAACTTTTTATCTTCTTTTAAAAACAGGTCATAATCTTATTGTTATACTTAAGAAATGGCTGGATATCACAGTCCTTATACTGTATCAGTTTGATTGAGTATTATTGTGTAGGTCCTTTTTATTTTACTGTTACTTTGGATGAGGTTTTCATGAGTCAGTCAAATTAATTTGTTTTCATATGCCATATTCATATGTATCACACACGTAAGGGTAAGACACAAACCTATTGAACAAATGCAATGCAATGGATAAGCTTAATTTCCACTGAAGTCACAGATAACGTCATATATAATATTTAAACAAATCATTTCCTTGTCACTAAAGCATTGACTACGCTATTCATCGTCCTTAAATGCAGGAATTAAGTTACATGTTCTGTTCTACAGCCACGATGAGGCTGTTTCTCAAGTGTGAGGATAATACAATTAAAAGAGGCATTGGTAATAATATTAAAAACAACAATGTTTGGGTCGTTCGTCGGATAGGCGGTTAGCTGCAATAAATAACTCCAGTTCAACAAACCATATTACAATATCTAAGGGAGCGTTATTATCTTGAAATGTGACGTTCATATTTTAAAGATACACATATTTCATTGTGAGGTTGATTTAATATACACTAAGCCTCTCTTCAACAATACGTTGAAGTTAGCTAGTCTATTTTATGCTATAGTAGAGCATAGCGAATTTAAATGAACCTTAACAATGCATACAGTAACCTAAATAGCAAACTAACTATCTAACGTACAAAGATGACCTTATTTTAGCAACCTCGCACAGAAGCCTTTTGGTATACAGTAGCATCCCACTTAATGTTTTACACTCTTGGATGCTACGCATAGCATCGTTAGCACAGATGGAGCTACGATTGCTCAAATGCTACCCCAACTCTAAACATTCATTAACGTTAGCTTAATAAAAACACCAGTAACATAACATAAAGTACGCAGGGTTCACTTACCGAAGAAACTGCATTCATGGACGGTCCGTTTTAACCGCAGATCAATCCTATATTTGCAGGACGAATAGTCCACCAGGAACCAACACAACAAACACGGCCGAGTTCAAGTAGTGTTCTCCTCATGAGCTGAGCCGCTGTAGCATCACGGAGCTAACGGAGCTAGCAGAGAGGAGCTAGGAGCAGCAGCCCCGTTGTCATGAAGGGGGAATCTAACTATATACAGAATATGTTTTTGTAGATCCAGGCTAGAAACATGTTCATTTTCTGATGTTAAGTTGGACATTTTAACAAAGGGTCTACGGGAATTGCTCCCATCTGCATCCATCGCCTACAGTTTGCAGCATTGGGCTTCACCGCACTGTCCCGGGGTTTGCCGCTTGGCTCTGATAGGCCAGAAGTCGGTTTGATTGCATTAGGGCTCGATTGCTTATCCTGTCTGAGTAGCCCGGATGAGGCTGCATCGCAATTTTTGACGTCGAATTTTACACACCGAATTTTTTTACATCGAATTTTAAACACCGAAATATTTGACGTCGAATTTTTTTCACTTGAATTTTTGGGATCTGAATTTGAACATTCGAATTTTTTTAACTTGAATTTTTACATTTTTATTTCACATAGATAAATTCGGAGCAAAAAAAATTCAGATTCATGATTTTCAAAGTAATTATTTTCAATGCTATAAATTCGGTGTCTAATAAAATTCAAATACTTCTGTCTCTTGTTTGCTTCCATACTATGCGCCTATTGACACTACGAAACACACTTTGCAGCCCAGGGATCATGAGTCATCAAAGGTCTCTCGGCCAATCAGGAAAGAGAACCGCTATTTGCGCAGAGGGCGGGACTATGAAGCCGGCTAAAATAACCCCTCTATTAGCATAACACTTAAACTACTTCTAAACAAGGCGAAAGGTAATGTAAGCAAAATGAGAGTAGATATCTTCTTGGTAAAGTTTAATGTAAGTTTTGAGTCGGTTTCTTACCCTAATGTTTGCCAGTAGACAGCCAAATCAAACAATTGTTTAAGCTAGCTTACAAACACGGACTAGGGCTAACAGTATAAATGCACCTATTAGCATGGTTAATGAGAAGCTAACTTTATATACACTTTAAGTTGCCATACCTAACTGTGTGTCTTGTCATTGCAGTATTCAGCTAGATGTATAACTATGCGCAAAGGTGTGGGTGAAATGAATTTACAACTAATACATTGTGGGCAAAAAAACATCATTGTAAATCCAAATGAGTAAACAATTAATACATCATACAATACAGCTTTATTTGTAAAGGACAGTAAAACCTCAGAATATAAATTAATAGATGAAATAAAAAAATCACTCACAAACCACAAACCACAAACCATAAAGTAAATTAAGAAACCAATAAATAGGTCAAATCAAATTAAATCGATTTACATACTGGTTCACTATATTGTCAGAGTTATAGGGCATTCGTCACCTTGTTTTGAACATGTCATTTCAAAATCATGGGCATTAATTCTGAGAATCTGAGAATTATTATTTTTTTTTTTTTTTTGTACTTTGTTATAATTATTAATTTGAGTGAGAAAAAAAAAGGAAAAAAAGAGAATATATATATATATTATTGTTGTATGTTTTTGTTTCCGACATGTCAGAAATCAATCATGGGCATTAATATGCTCTCAGAAGTGTCTAATTCTCTTGGAAGACTTTCCACAAGATTTTGTAACTGGCCTGCACTGATATGCTCCCATTCAGCCTCAAGAAGGGGTACAAACTAATGAATTAATATAATGAATGTCTGAAAAGTTATCATTTGTGAATTGTCATCTTGTGTTTCCAAAGGAGTAATCTAAAATGGACTGGTTCCACTGTAATCAGTGCTTTACAAGGAGTGGGTCGAAGTTTGCCGTGAGCAGCTGCGGCCACATCTGCTGTGAAGCATGCATTACATCTGGTAAGTAGGGGTGTGAATTCCAAGTTACAACACGGTAAGATATTGTATCGATTCTTTGGAAAACTATATGACAATTCGCTGATATCACAAAGTATACCACAACGCGACTTTCACTTGATTAAATTCAGTGGCACGCCATCGATATGACAATATATCACAGTACCATGCAAGAAAAAGGTTACATCAATAACAACTCACAAAAAGCTATCAAAATATTACTTGACAATTAGTGTTTTTTCATAAAATGACTTGATACATTTTTTAACAATATATGTTAAAAGTTGATGGTGTATATTGATTTTTTTTACTTTGCTACTAATAATACTACTAATACGCTAAATCGATTTGCTTTCACTTTTTAAGCAAAATTCTTTAACATCGTGGCTTCAATTAGACATTTTCCGGCCCCTTCTAATGATGTATCTTCCCACAGAGCAGTGCAGTGTCTGTGGAGCCACCTGCAGTTATCTGCCCATCACAGACCAGGTTGGTGAGTTTAACATCTCCACTGCAGCTTACTGTCTGAAACCAGAGAATTACCTTATTTTATCCAGCCAACTTATTTTATCTTATGTATTTCAGATGAAGCCTCAAGAAAGGGTGTTTTTCAAAGATCCTGTGAAGCTCATCCAGTCCCGGCTGGAGCACATCTCACAGGTCTGTCTCCTCTGTGCAGCATCCCCCAAGAGCCCTTGCTGATTTCCTATTTAATTGCTAAAGAGGCATGTTAAATGTCATTCAATTAATAGTCAGTCAGTGAGTCATTCAACAAGACCTTGCTTCATTTAGAGTGTTAGGAGACACAATTAAAAGCATCCCTGAACTATAATCCAAAAGTTTATATTCATTACGTTCTATTTTTACTGAAAGAATACCTAATATCAGTCTTCATGCTCCTCAGATTGCACTTTTTCAGCGGACACAGATGGAAAGAGTAACGGCACACTTCAAGCATAAGTCTGTGGAGCTGGAAAGGCATCTGAAGGAAGTCAGTGAGCAGGCTTACAGGTGATTCTAGAACCTATTATTGTTCCTCTGTGGCTGTGAATATAAAAACCCTGGTTGTAACGCTTTTCTTCCCATCCCAAGGCAACTCTCCGAGCTTAAAAGAGAGAACGCTAACTTTAAAAAGCAGCTTTCAGAACTGAAAAGAGAGACTGCTGATTTGAAAAAGCCCCTTTCTCAGCGGCGGGTAAGTGTTCCAAAGTCTAGAAAATAAAATGTTCATGTTGCCAAAATGTTCAGGAATAGTCAAATATCTAATATAGCTTGCATACTTTTTCTTTTCCAAAGGTTTCACCAGGACAGTTTCAAATAGATGGGTAAAACAAATGCTCATATCAGGACTATCCTCATGAACCTTCTAGTGTTCAAATGTTTTGAAACAGTTGAGTAATCACGTTTTTATCTCATATATAGAAATCAAAGAATGTCACTCCCTGTGGCTGTCACCTCCCCAGGTAAGTTGAATCGTTACAGTTCATGCTTTTGTTGTTTTATATCTCAATTATTTTGATTCAAGGTAATAAGCAGCGTGTTTCCTTTTGCTAGTTACCCCTCGTCCAAGAACCATGAGGTATGTATTACATCATTGTCCTGGTGGATTTCCCTCTGCATAACATATCTACACTTCATAAAAGGAGTCCAAATATTGAATGCTCAAACATGTTGTCCACAGTTACATGGGCTCAGCGGAGTCTCAGGTGTGGGCTAGAGACAGGGGTCATAGTCTATCCTCTCTCACGGTAAGTCTCCTTATTGTAGTATTTTTAAATGAACTGTATTTATAGCACTTTCTAGTCTTCTAATGTTTTGTAGAAGTCAAAGTCAACTTCATTGTCAATCTTTCAGTTTGTGTGTACAGGCAGAGAGATCGAAATACCGCTTCCCACAATCCCGAATAGAAAAACAAATATATATATACAAATATGTATAAAAATATGTATATACCTATATATACACAATCAAAAGACACATTTATACATATGCACACAGTAACACCTAAATAAAAGCACAACAATCAATATATACAAAATAACAGCCACTTCAATATCTTTGAGAATGTACATTAGTGCAAGACTGTCCATAGCGGCGTAAAAAAAAAGTATCTTGTGCTGGATTTGAGTGTGTGTGGTGTTAAAGTCCAGGACCAGTGGGGTCAGGGGGAGAGAGGGGAGAGTTCAGCCTCCTGACGGAACTTCTATAAACAAAAGTATTTCTTAATTTAAAAAAACTGACAAAAATATAACTATTTCCTAAAGGGATTGTAAGAGATAAGATAAGACTTTATTTATCCTGAAAGAAATTGTTGTGCCAGAGTAAAAAAAATGGTGCAACTTTTAGGAGATTTAAAACCATTTGACAATACAAGAATCTTAAATCAAGGTCGATCAATAGCTTTTATCAAAGCGTTCAGGGAGGTTTCATCTCAGGTCTCCATCCACTGATGAAGACTGAACTGTGGTTGAAACCTCTAGGAGAAGCTAGTCAGTGGATCTTAAGTCGAGATGTTTTTGTGAGACAAACATCTCTAAGGGTCAAGAATGATTGTACTTGCTCTAAATAATTACAAATCCATAGACCAGGTGGTCATTAGTAGTTTTAGGAGTAACAGATTACACATCATGGGATTACATAATAAGGATACAAAGAATTCCCTTAGATTTATGTACATAAAAAAAAAGACTTAATTCAGATTCATGTTACATCTAAAGAAAATCGGGGATTACTAGCAGGATTACAATGTTACTAAAAAATCCCAAAAATATCATATAGTGTTTGTTGTAAAAGGAACAGATGTCATGTCTTCTTTGTGAGCTCCTGTTCTGTAGGCTAATACTTTAGGTGTGAATCAATACGCCTACTGCCTGAATTAGGTTTTTCACTTTCTTTGGTTCATTTGTTATTTTTTTTAATCAGAGGGTGAACTTATATGTTTATAAAATAGTGTGTATGAACTGTAAGTATTCAATTAAAATGGAGCATTTCCTGTCAGCTCAGATTTTATTTTCTAAACTGTAGTATGTGCTCATGTGTTTCATCGTTGGTGTATATGCTACTGCCTGAATATGCTCGATGAAAGGCAGTTTTTCCAATAATAAAATCTCTGAGCAGAGGACACATTTTCAATACTATATATCTTTGTTTCTTATTTTTTAAGTTAACATAAGGTTACTGTTGTCTTACGTAATACACTTAAGTCAAAACAAATCTTATTGATAATATTTTGTCTTGTATTTATTTTCATTGCATTTGATATTGAGGTAATCCTAAGTAACAGAAAGTAATCATGTTACATTACTTCTATATTTTGACACTCAGATTAGGTTACTGATTTATTTATTTTACAGCTAAATAATCATTTTAACGGAATACATTTGTACAAGTAATCCTCCCGACCCTGGTCATTAGTAATTCATATTCAGCTATCAATTAAAATGTTGTTTGCTCTTTGTTTTTTTCAGACTCCTGGATCAGCTACCTCTATTCACAGCCACAGTTCACTTCATGGACATGCACACAGTAAGTGTTGTGAAGACGCTTTGGCTGTAACATGCAGTCCTTCTTTAATCATTAATCCTTTCACCTCTGTCTTTGAAAAGGAACTCCCATATCCTACAACACTCCTACAAGGTAAGAAATGCTTTACGAATAACTTGTGAAACTTTGTATCACATTTTCAAGAAGGGAGGATTTTCTCGTGTAGTCGTGAGTCAGTCCAATTCTGTCCTCCCCAGAACTCAGCGTCAGACTCCTAATGCCTTCCAGTTCCCGTTTATGAGTGGATTATCATTACAGTCACCCAGGCACTGATGAAGCTGGGATAATTTTGTCAGTTGATGTTGACAGTTGACATCAGCTTTGTTTTCTTAGTTAAAGAAAAACATGTTTTTGCCCAGTAACAGTTGGATGTTGATTTAATGTCACAATTTATCATTGTTCCATTGACGTTACCCTGTGGTTCCATATTATCATATTGTTATTGATTGACCGTTAATTGACCGTTTTACTGCCATAAATTGATGTTCAATTTATGACAGTACAATTGTATGTGTTTCTACAAATTGCTTTTGCTTGGAGTTTACATTGATATAAAAATAAATGTTATCCGTCAGGATCAGTTGGTTTCATTACAGCACACAAAAAAACATTGCTCACACATGAATAGAAAGGCAAATCCTTTACTGGTTTCCAGTGACACAATTGTGCAAAATTTCAAACTGGATGAAATACATGGAAGACATCTGCAAAGGAAGACACTAAGCGTTGTGGACATTTTCCACCAGCATTAATGCTTCATTACTAATACAATGACAAAGTGACACTGCTTGATCGACTTTATTGTAATCTAAACCAGATATTTCTATTGAGCTAACTGACACCATTAAAACCCACTTCAACCACTGGAGGGCTACTAACAGAGTGTGGAGTTTCTCTGAACTGATTAGCAAAATGTATAGTATTTGTTGGTGTTTTTCTTTGGATTCAATTCTATTGCTACTTATACAGTACGTGGACACCCATCTATTATTTTATCTGTCCATCAAGTATAAACACCCTACAGCTATTAAGACAAAATAGACATCAAAATACTGACTGATAAATTACTGAGAAAAAAGAGAATTGAAGTTGGCAATTCTGACATCTGTATAATGTGATTGTTCCTTTTCTAATTACTGTTAAAGGTGCAGTTGAATGCAAATTACAGAGTTTACAAACAGTAAATCAGGTTTTATAGCAGTGTAAAAGAGAATCGGGGAATGTTTGTCAGACATAAGTACAATTAGATGTATCATACTGTTTTGTAAAAGGCATGTTTATTACTTTCAGTGTTAAGGGTTCAAATAACATTTTGTGAACAAATTGGATGTTATGAATATGGCAGCAGCCTCTAAAACCAAAGTGCAAGATGTCAATTTAAAGTGATCATGTCCAGTGTGCTTTTCTCGACAAGGAATTATTGGCTGTAAAGGAATGATTAAACACAGTGACCTTTTAACAAATGTATCAACAGACATTTTTCTGGAGCAGTTACTGCTTTAGTCAGATACCAAAGGTACAACCAGTTTAAATTAAACTGCTACAATAGCATACTAACAACTCTGTAGTAGTGATATCCAGACAAAAATAATTAGCTCAAAAAATATAGCAAACCAGTGTACAAGTTACTGTCCTATTTACAGCAACAGAGGCAGCACAATTATAACTCATGTCCAAATATATTAGGAAAAGCAGGAAATTCAGCATATATAAAAACTCAAACCTCACTTTGGGCTTGTGCTGGGAAGACGGGATGGTACAAACCGGACAAATTAAAGCAATTTAAACCAAAGTAGTATATATGCTTGTTGGTGCAAAGGATGCAAGGAGCACACCAACACCTTTTATAAATGTTTGGTTCCATGGTCTTAATCAGCGGCAATGGGTTCTTGTTCAGTCCCTCCCGTATCCTGACCTGCAAACCAATCTCGCACTTGCTGGTAGCTCATTTTTGATTTCTTGCATAGAGTGTCAAGGTCTTTTTCATGTAGTTTGCCTGTTGAAAGATAATATGTCAGCAATGGCTGGATATCAGGGGAATCTACACTTGTTGCATTTGCTTGTGATTTTCGTTTGCGGCCACCCCCAGCCCGAGCAGATGTCCCAGAGCCATTCCCGTTAGTTAAACCACTGCTACTTTGCTGGGCTGCAAGCTCTGCCAAGAACTGATCGCGGACGCCCTTCACCCAGCGTAGCTGGCCGTTTTTAACGGCATACCGCGTGTCCCCAAACCACTGAATGATATCTGCCCGGGGTAAACTTGTAAGCTTCACAAGTTCTGTATAATCTTCACTCTTGGGCCACTGGCAGCGTAAGAAGTGCTGCTTTAACATATCCAACTGCTCCTTGGTCTTTCTTGGTCGCCCAGATGGAGTGAGGGCAGGGGATGTGGATAAGGGAGCCTTTGAAGGTGTTTGTGCGGGACTGGCTTTGGCTGAGTGGGCTGACTTCTTTGATGTGCTGTTGCTTGAAATCGGTTTATGAGGCGAGGCAGTCAGTGGTGGGCTTCCAGGGGGGGAAGAGTAGGGAGAGCATTTTAATATACCTGATGGTTCCTGTGGAACATCTGGCTCAATCTTGCAGGTCTTTGTCAGCTGCAATGGTTGCTCTTCATTTTGTTCCTCGTCTTTCAAACTGTCCCCATCACCAGAAAGCTCCTCCATAACTTCATACCCTTCTGCCTCAAGGACCCTCTCCCCAAATGCTTCAAGGCTGTTTGTTAAGAAGGTTTGAAAGAAATGTGAATTTCTTATCCCATTTCCACGGGCTCCGTCCTGGCCCTTCACACCGTCCAGTTGACTAGTCTTTTGTGTGATAAGTGGGATAGGTTGAATTTCTTGATCTTGTTTACCTCCAGTGTTTTGAGAGTGATTCTGTGCTGCAGCTAGGCTTCCTCTACCAACCCGTAGCTGGTACCGGCTGTCACTGAACCATTTCCGAATGTCGTTACGGCTCAGCCCCGTTTCTTCCTGCAAACGTCTAAGCTCTACCTCCGCAGGCCAATTCTCTCTCAAAAAGCTTTTCCGAAGGGCAGCGAGCTGAACTTTAGACTTTTTGTAGCGCCCATGGCGGTGCTGTCGTGAAGATGACTCTGAAAGGTCAAGGGAGACATCAGCTGCTATACCTGCTGGCGTGTCTGCTGGTGGGCGGTAGAAGTATGAATCCTGAGGAGGGGGGAGGGAGGAGCTGAAAAACGGGACATTGGGCTTGGCTGGTTTATAGGAATCTGGTGACTCACACTTTGGTTTCTTCTTCTGGGGGCTACAGATGGCCCCCTTTACTTCATTGATATCCTTATCCTCAATTACCAATTCCTCAGAACTGCTGCTCTTACTCTTCATTTTGGCTTCCTCGTTTGTTTCAGTATAGTCATCACAAAGATCAGGCACTGCCAGCTTTTGACGTGTCTCCTCGATTTCTTCTGAAGACCAGCTGATACCATATTTAATTCTCTGCACCATGAACCACACCTTTACTTTATCCAGTGGCAAGGCACATACCCGGGCCAGAGTGGTTACCTCACAGGATGATGGGTATGGAAATAAGTTAAAGGCTTGGACCAGCTCTGGGATTGTGTCAAGTTCACGGGTTTGATCCGACTGTGTCCACACCAGTTTCAGTCCCTCCGACACTAGAGGCAGGCACACAACAGAGTTGTGGTTTGTGGTGAAACTAGCCACGCCACTCTCGTTTTCAGCTGAGCTGGCAGAGTGGCGCAAATCCTTGGAGGGGCGTTTGGGTACAAGTTTTACTTCACATTCTGTCTTTGTTGCTTTTCCTTCAAAAGGCCCCTTCATGCCCATAAATAGTCCATTTTTGCCATTATGTTCACTGTAGGTCGCCATCTGGGATGTCAAAATAGGCTCTTTCACCTAAAAAAAATCAAAACAAAACACTGATTTAGTCTTTGATGTTCTTTTTAGTTGACAAACAGTTTTTACTTCATAGATGGGATCACTGTGGGGGGATTAAACATGTATGCTAAGAAATGTAGCAGAAAGTATAGACTATGATGTTTTCAGGACTTTTGGGTCTCATTCATTCTTAAAGTCAATTATCTGACAGCTGGTTACCCCCTCCCCCCTACTTTGCACTTCTTATTCTGAACTCCCAGCGAAACTTGTCGTATACTCTGTCGAGACTGGGTTCCCCTCCCCCAAAGTGTAGTGCCTGACTTTTGTTTTGTGTGAGTGGGGGGATTGGTCGCAAAGGGTGGTGTGCGTGGGGATCTGTGAGAAAACCATCACAGTCTACTTTCTCACCCCTTCCCAGTCGGCCTTTGTTCCACTCCCAAGTTCTCAGTCCCGAAATATGAGTGTTGCCTCTTCACAATGGCAAGATACCACAAGAGAAACCTGTGGAAGACAAAATGAGTTGGATTAGTCACACTCAAGTCCAAGTCGAGGCACTCAAAGTACTTAAACAGTATCAAACACCAAGTTCATTTGTTTGTTTTCATTCTGAAAAATGGTTTGAAATACTAATTGAATATACATGTATTAATTAATTTAGCAACAGGTGTTAAGCTATCACAAAAACACATTATGCAGTGAAATGTCACTTTCATCGAAGGATCAATAAAAGGATTTTTTTAATTAAATAACCTTTTTGTCCCATTTCAGTCATTACTTTATTATATGAATAGGGGTTTGTAACTACTTATGGTACAGTTTCTTACAAGTAACTATGTAGCATTGCCTTTATTTGTGAGTTTATTTATTTGAAACAGCTGAGGGAAATGCCCATTCAGTTAGGTCACGACATGGCTGACGATTAAGGTCGCTTGAGTCACGTAAGAAATGTTCGAAATGTACAAAAAAACATTAGCAAACAATTGTGAAACCAATGTATTAGTCATTCGTGACACATTGAAACCCACGGGGGTGAGATCATGGAGTGGCCTCCTCCGTGTTTCATGTGTTTCCTCACAGCACTGTACGAGTTTAAGCGTATTATCTTTGTTTTAGCGTTAAGAAAAAAGCTATAAAAGTTGCTTTCGGTGTCCATCACAAAAGCAGCCCAGTGTCTACCCCTTTATGGCGTACTAACTAAAACGCTTCACACTGCACAGGCGCACTTCGGCGTCAGACACGCTTCAGTGAAACATACAAATAAACTTACCGAAAATGCCAAAATAACCCGCTATCTCCTTGGTCCGTTTCAGCGGAAAGACATGAGAAGAAACCCGGAGTTTCCCCTCTGCCACTCCGTTCCTTTATGGCCGAAGTTTAGGGGAAGACCAGGGAAACAATGCCGTCCGTCTGTCGGTTTGACCCTTGTCTTATTTATCAAGCACCTCGATGGATTACTGTCGGGATACAAAGATGCGAGGCGACCAAGTTTGTCGCCTTTTCGCAGGAGTTCAGTCGTTGGTCGTATGGCGC